AACTCAGATTGCTTTCATTCCATTGTGATGTATCCAAAAAAAGTAAAATAATCACTTTTACTTGCTATTTAGAAAAATTTGGCAGATGAAGGAGGAAATCCTGAAGAGCATGTTGCCTGAAGATTCAGTCATATTGATCAGATTATCTGGGAATTCTTGGTACAGGTATGATGGGAATTGTAAATAGGCAACTGGCAGCGGTATCACTGTGGGACTGATAGGCAGAAACAAAGAGCTGCCTCTATTCACTGAGATAAAGGCTATCTTCATAACTATGAAGACAAAACAAGAGGTCTCTGCTCCTTATTTTTTGTAGGATTAAGAGTAGACTCTCATTTGGTGGCTGGTTGTTTCTTTTTGTTTGTTTGTTTTGTTTGTGTTTTTGAGACAGAGTCTCACTCTGTTGCCATGGCTAGAGTGCCGTGGCGTTAGCCTAGCTCACAGCAACCTCAAACCCCTGAGCTCAAGCAATCCTCCTGCGTCAGCCCCCCAAGTAGCTGGGCCTACAGGCATGCACCACCATGCCCAGCTAATTTTTTCTATATATTTTTAGTTGGCCAATTAATTTCTTTCTATTTTTAGTAGAGATGGAGTCTCGCTCTTGCTCAGGCTGGTTTCGAACTCCTGAGCTCAAACAATCTGCCTGCCTCAGCCTCCCAGAGTGCTAGGATTACAGGCGTGAGCCACCATGCCTGGCTGATGGCTGGTTGTTTCTTTTAGAATCATTCCTTTTATATGAACTTATTCAGAAGACAATAGCCATATAATATGTAGTACACATGCATCAAGGGTCTTGTTTCCTTTGGGAATATTTATTTTTATTTATGTATTTATATATATAAGACAGGGTCGGGACAGCTGCGGCAATCATGGCTGCACGCCGAGCCTTGCACTTCGTGTTCAAAGTGGGAAACCGCTTCCAGACCGCTCGTTTCTGTAGGGATGTCCTGAGGATGAAGGTTCTGCGGCATGAGGAATTTGAAGAAGGCTGCAAAGCTTCCTGTAATGGGCCTTATAATGGGAGATGGAGTAAAGCAATGGTGGGAATTGGGCCTGAGGATGATCATTTTGTAGAACTTACAATTATGGCATCAGAGACTACAAGCTTGGCAACGACTTCCTGGGTATCACGCTCGCTTCTAGCCAGGCTGTCAGCAATGCTGAGAAGCTACATTGGCCACTCAGTGAAGTTGCAGAAGGTATTTTTGAAACCGAGGCCCCAGGAAGATATAAGTTCTACTTGCAGAATCGCAATCTACCCCAATAAGATCCTGTATTAAAGGTAACTCTAACAGTGTCTGATCTTCAGAAGTCCTTGAACTACTGGTCTAAACTACTGGGAATGAAAATTTATGAAAAAGATGAAAAGAGGCAAAGGGCTTTGCTGGGCTATGCTGATAACCAGTGTAAACTGGAGCTACAGGGCATCAAGGGTGTAGTTGATCATGCAGCAGCATTTGGAAAAATTGCCTTTTCTTGCCCCCAAAAGGAGTTGCTAGGCTTGAAAGACTTGATGAAAAGGGAGAACCACAAGATTCTGACTCCTCTGGTGACCCTGGATGCCCCAGGGAAAGCAACAGTGCAAGTGGTCATCCTGGCTGACCTGGATGGACATGAAATTTGCTTTGTTGGGGATGAAGCATTCGAGAACTTTCTAAGGTGGGTCCAAAGGGAAGCAAATTGTTAGATGATGCAATGACAGCAGATAAAAGTGATGAGTGGTTTGCTAAACACAATAAACCAAAGGCTTCAGGTTAATGGAAGACATCACGTGGAACAAGCATTTGTGATTCCCGTCCAGCACCTGTGAGGCCTGATGTGTCTATTCGTGATAAATGCTCTTACCATTTGGTGGTTTCCTATGCAGGCAAGGAGGCCTGCGGGATGAAGATTTGTGTATTTCAATCTTCGAAAGCTCTGATATATTTTAGAAATCAATTACCATTAATCCAAGAGGGGAGAACTCTTGCTGTAATCTGCACTGTCACTGGAACAGCACATTCTGTGTGTAACAAGTTACTTTCCAGACTAGGACAGCTATGTGAGACATTACCCTTGGTTGGGGATTGTGTTGTCTGAGCTAGAGTGCCGTGGCGTCAGCCTAGCTCACAGCAACCTCAAACTCCGGAGCTCAAGCGATCCTCCTGCCTCAGCTTCCTGAGTGGCTGGGACTACAGGCATGCGCCACCATGCCCGGCTAATTTTTTCTGTATATATATTTTTAGTTGTTCAGATAATTTCTTTCTATTTTTAGTAGAGACAGGGTCTCGCTCTTGCTCAGGCTGGTCTCCAAACTCCTGACCTTGAGTGATCCACCCGCCTTGGCCTCCCAGAGTGCTAGGATTACAGGCGTGAGCCACTGGGCCTGGCCCAACATTTAAAAAAATTTTTAAAGAAATTTTGTTCCTTGGACCAAAAGATTTGGTTAACACCCCCACCTTACTTGCTTTTATGTTTTTAGTAGCCAGAGAAAGGATTTAATGTGTTGTGTTGTCACATGCCTGGCTCTGTGCTAGTTTCTTTATACATATATATATGTATTTTTTTGATCTTTACAAGAAAAAACATTGTGTTAGATATCTCAAAAATGGATTAAATGGTTCTTCAACCTGAAAAAAATTTGTTTTAATATCTTCTTGAAGTTTTCTTTTTGGTTCTACAGAACAAAGAGGTTTTAATCACTGGGAAAAAAAAAAGATAGGGTCATTCTCTGTCGCCCAGGCTGGAATGCAGTGGCATGATCATAGTTCACTGCAGCCTCAAACTCCTGAGCTCAAGCAATCCTCCTGCCTCAGCCTCCCAAGTTGGGACTACAGGGGTACACCACCACACCTGGCTAATTTTTTTATATTTTGTAGGGGGCGGTCTTGCTATATTGCTCAGGCTGGTCTTGAACTTCTGGCCTCAAGTGATCCTACTGCCTTGGCCTCCCAAAGTGCTGTGATTACAGGCATGAGCCACTGTACTCAGCCTGGAATATTTAATATATAAATATTCTAATTCAATCCAGCAGAAAAAGCCCTTGTGCTATAAATATGGGTGAATAATTGGGTTCAAAAGGGTACACCTACCTGGGTTTTTCTTATTTGTTTCTTTTCCTTTTTTTTAAATGTTAAAATAATGTGACCATTTATTGAGAAAAACCATATTCCAGAACCCATGGTAAGCACTTTGTATCTGCCTTTCTCAGACCACCCCATTTTTTTTTTTTTGAGACAAAGTCACACTTTGTTGCCCAGGCTAGAGTGAGTGCTGTGGCGTCAGCCTGGCTCACAGCAACCTCAAACTCCTGGGCTCAAGCAATCCTGCTGCCTCAGCCTCCCAGGTAGCTGGGACTACAGGCATGTACCACCATGCCCGGCTAATTTTTTCTATATGTATTAGTTAGCCAATTAATTTATTTCTGTTTATAATAGAGACAGGGTCTCGCTCTTGCTCAGGTTGGTTTCGAACTCCTGAGCTCAAACGATCCGCCCATCTCAGCCTCCCAGAGAACTAGGATTACAGGCGTGAGCCACCCCATTTTATAGAATAAAGGTGAGGCTTAGATAGGTGGGATTCTTCAGCCATGCTGGAATTTGAACCCAGGCCTTTCTGACTCCATTGAACTTACTTTTCTTTTCTTTTGGGGGAGAAGGTGGAGGAATGTAACTACTTTATTGAGATGTAATTCATATACCATATAATTAGCCCAATAAGCAGTTAATATCAAAATATATAAAGAATTCATACAACTCAAATACCAAAATTATAAATAACCCAACTTAAGAAAATGGGCAAAGGACCTAAATAGACAACTCCTGAAAAGAAAAAATTCAAATGGCTAACAGGTCCATGAAAAGGTACTCAACATCTCTAGTCATGAGGGAAATGCAAATCAAAATCACAATGAGCTATCACATGATACATGTTAGGATGGAGAGTATCAAAAATAAAAGACAGGTGTTGGTGAGGATGTGGAGAAAAGGGAGCCCTTGTACACTGCTGATGGGAATGGAAATTGTGGAAAACAGTATAGATATTCCCCTAAAATACTTTAAAATAGAAATATCTGGGTATAATCCAAAGTAAATGACATCAGGATTGAGAAGAGATATCTGCACTCCTATGTTCACTGCACTACTACCAATAACAGCCAAAATATAAAAACAACCTAAATGTCCTTTGATGGATGAATGGATAACGAAAATGTGGTATATAAAAATACACTATGGAATAAAAAAGGAGGAAATCCTGCCATTTGCAAAAATGTGGATGAACCTGGAGGATACTATGCTGAGCAAAATAAACAAGACACAGAAAGTGAAGTATTGCATGATCTCACTTATATGTGAAATCTAAAACAGTCATATTCATAGAAGTGGAGTTAGAGGGTGGTTTCCAACGGCTGGGGGAATGGGGAAATGGAGGGATGTTCGTCAAATGATACAAAGTTTCAGTTATACTGATGAATAATTTGTGGAGATCTAATGTACTGCATGATAATGATATTAATAATAGTGCAGTACTGTATACTTATAATTTGTTAAAAAGACAGACACACACAATGGTAATTATAAAGAGGTGATGGATATATTAGTTTGATTGTGGTAGTATTTCACAATATATCTATATATCAAAATACCAAGATATACATCTTAAACATATGTAAATATGTATATTCAGAGGTTTCCAGAAGAGAACAAGACTTTAAATTCTCTTTGTTTCTGTTATTTAAAGTGTCTTAAAGTAGTAATGATGGATGGTTACTTAGTGCAGGTTGAATATCCCTTATCCAAAATGCTTGGGACCAGAAGTATTTTGGATTTGGGATTCTTTCAGATTTTGGAGTATACTTAATCAGTTGAGCATCCCTAGTTTGAAAGTCTGAAATGCTCCAATCAGTATTTCCTTTGAGCATCATGTTGTTGCTCAAAAAATTTTGGATTTTGGAGCATTTTAGATTTCATATTTTCAGATTAGGGATGTTCAACCTGTAGTTAGAATTTATTAAGCATTAATTATTATCCCATGCATGAATTATTCTTTTATTCTTCATAACAATCCTGTGAGATAAATCCCATTGTCTCCACTGTACAAATGAAGAAGCTAAGAGAGCTTAAGTAACTTGTGCAGGAAGTCAAAGAACTACCAAATGATAAACCCATGATTCAAACTCTCCTGAGGCCCTACTCTTGGCATAAGTGTGCCAAGATATTCCTTCCTACGGGATAGGCACACTTGGTCCATAACTTTTATAAATTCTCTTTCAATTCAACTCAGTGATGATTTAATAAGCTAGAAATTCTAAGTATTGGTGATGTGAAGATGATTAAGCCTAGGTAACACACTAGTGGGAAAGACAGAAGTGCAAAGATAACTAAACGATGCAGTGATTTGATAAGAGGCTATACAGGAGCTGGTGAGGACACAGTATGGGGAGCCTCCTAAGCCTGGGAGTGTGAAGATAGGTTTGCTTGAGCCAGCAGCCTCTGGGTTACACATGCACTACTAAAGAAAAAAGTCAAGCTTTTAAAGAATTAGATTTATTCAGAAGTCTTACTGAGGACTATAGACCAAGGCCCTCACAGAGAGTCTGCCAGACTGCTCTAGCACAGAATTTCGGCCACTGCTTCTATACAGGTGGTGGGGGTTCGGTATGTGCAAAATCACATCGAACTTGCTTAGAAGTTACAGTAAAGCAGAACCACATTAAGGTTTGGGTGTAATAATACATCTGGTTATAAACCACAGAAGCGTAATCACTAACTCTGTAGACATTATCTTATGCGCAGGAAAAGGCAAAGACTAGGGTCATTTATCTTTTAAGAAATGTAGTGACTCAGGAAAGACACGCAGGGGGCGTGTGCTCCATCCTGTGTGGTTTTCAAGGCATCTTTCCAGAGAGCTGCGTGGCAAAATGAGTCAGGGGCAGGCAAACAGCTTCTTACATTGGCTGCTTCGTTTCTCACACTAGCTAGCTCAGCCCTCTGCATGTATTAACAGTAATCAAGGACCAAACAGGGAGCAGTACAGGCAGTACCTGAGAGTGTGATCCTCGCACACTGATTGGGTTAGGGTCCTGGTGCCAACACCTACAAGCTGTGATCTTGGCAAGTTACTTCATCTCCAAAGACTCCACTTTCTTTCTTGGTAAAATGGAGAGAATTCATAGGATTGTGGTGGTGATATGATGAAATGCAAAACCAAAAGTGCTTGATAAATTTTAGCTATTACTATTATTCATGGAACTGGCGTTAACTTCAGTGGACCTAAAAAAGTTTCACAGGTGCTGAATCGCACTGATCTTACTGAACAATTAGATACGAACATTTGATAGAAAAATCCTAGGGAACTAAGCTAAGCTTTGTGTGGAAACCAAGAACCATAACTACTCATTTCTCTTTTATTCTCACCTCCAGTCTCCTAGAGATCATGATAACTCATAAATCCTATTTTATAGCTCTTGACAAAAGTTTTCAGGCAGTAGATGCCCTGATTGATCTTGGCTTCTGCATAGAGATTTTGCCCACATCACCTGGGAATTTCATTCCTGTAGTGTTGATCTTATACAGAACTATACAACCCAATCATCAACTCCTAGCAGTAAAGTTCCCATGTGGTAACTTTAACTCAGTTTACTTTGGTTCTGTGGAGCACCTACTTGTTTCATATGCACATTATAAGGTTAGGTTCTTCTTTGTTGATAGACTTTTCTTACTAAGTATAAAATAATACTGAAATATAAATTACTGACAAAGCACAATTTGTCCCCCAATTTTCTTGCAGAGGGTTCATTATTAGTAGGAATATAAGCCAATGGGAAAAATACATAGTTTGCCACCTAAATATTAGACTTGGCTCTGGAGTTGGTGAACCTTCTTGAAACTTACTAGTTATCTGAACTAAATGTGCAACAGCTAGAGATTCCTGAAGCAGCACGTACTCTACCACTGTCACAATATGTTACAAAGCTCACTTCACGCTCCAGGAAAGTTGTTGGCTTTTGGCCAAGCCTTCCCATTGGGCTTCCTATGTGTCTTGGGGACATTATTTCACTGGCAGAGCTTCCTCACTGGCCAGCTGCCTACTGCTGCATCCTAGTAGTCAAGAGAAAAAAGAGGGGACATATGAGTTCTAAAGCATGTCTCAGACTGCTGTGCCAGGCAACAAGAAAGCCTAGAGCCCTTTAAAGTTAAGCTGCTGCCAACTGAAAGCAGCCCGCCCTCTCCACCTCTCTGACCCAATTCATCCTCTAGAATCAAAGGTCTCTCTCAGGCAGAAAGTCACCTTAGCCCCAGACTGCCCTGTCTTTAAACCAAAAGAGAAAGTGGAGTCTTTTCTAAATCCTTCTCTTTTCAAAACTCCTCCACAGAACACATCACCAACATATTTCTTCCTGGTGGTATACCTAACATGGATCAATTATTTAATAAAATCTAAAACAACATAAATTCATTTCACAAAACTACAAGTTATATTTTCTTACACAATAGTGAGAGACAAATTATCTTCAAACAGTAATTGCTGTAGAGCTATACTCCCTAATTAAATATTTTTTCATTTGAGGAATTTTTCCTTAATAAATGTTATACTTAACATTACAAAAAAGAAAACATATTTATAAAGAGCAAACACAGTGAAACTGTTTCCTTAGTTATAACTGATAGTAAAAAAATATATAAAAATATACAAAAATAACTTTTTTGAGGTGATATAAACTACCTTCTTGAAACATTACATAAATACATTCAATAACTAAATATTGAGCTGCTCCTCTGTAGCTACCACTGGGAAATAACTAAGAGTTATATCAGAGTCCTGGATTTACAATACTGTATTTTTTTACTGATTTCTTCATCTGCTTAATTTTCTTCCTTAAGACTTCGTGGTCTTGTTTTGAAATATACTGAAAATATCTACAACCTAAAAAATAAAACAAAATAAAAAGCTTTAATACTTACAGAATTTTTCAAGAATATTTCTATATTTTTAAAATTTTGCTTCAACTCTGGCCTACTAGTGATTATGAAAATAGACTTATTTGCATTATCTATACCAATATGTCCTAAGCATATTCTAAGAGCAGTCACCAATGAAATGTATTATTTCCTATAAATAAAGATGTTTCTGATCCGTCATAATTAAGGCATAAACTTTAGCTGGTTTCCTACCCTTCTCCCCAAATCCTTGTTATGGCAATATGCATATTATATATTATACATATTCATATATTAAATGAGAGTTCTCCAAAAGTGCATCATTATAGCTTCCCTCTCCATATTAGCTTGTAAATTAGCCCAAATTGTATTTATAACAATGAAAAGGTTTTCTGTAGAGTATCTTGGTGTGAAAGTTTAAGAGAAACAAATTATAAGTTAGAAAAGAACAAACATTATCTATTCATTCTGGCCATCTAGGGAGCAGTGGATGGAGATCACATAGCTCTGACAAAGGTGCCTCATGCTCATTAGAAGAAGTTCTACCTGCTCTTCACAGTCTTACAATGCAAAGAGGACCATTTGCCAAATACTTCAGAGAAATGAACCAAATTTTTATAAGAAAAATGTAAACTTGACATTATAAGAGTTTTTTTAACATTCGTTAAATGAATAATTCCATAAATCATACATGAAAAATTAAATTCATTCTAGCCTCAGTTTGTATATATTCATCTTCTCTGGGAAATTGCTAGGATATATAATGTACCTATAGTAACCATTTTATTACCCCTGAAAATAGTATGTCAGAATTGCTACTACTTTTTTTTTTTTTTTGAGGTTTGTTTCTTTTTTTTGAGATAGGGTCTCACTTGTTGCTCAGGCTGGCTTCGAACTCCTAGGCTCAAGGGATCCTCCTGCCTCAACTTGCTGAGTAGTTGGGACTACAGGCATGTGCCACCATGCCCGGTTCAACTGCTAATATTCTATTAGCTATGAAGCAGTGGTATCTGTGGTGTTACTAAAATAATTTGTTTCCAAACATATCACACCATATTAGTAAAAACAAAACACTTTGTATACATATTTTTGCCTCTACCTATATAAAAAGTCAGAAAGAACTTTGTTCCTACTCTAACATACAGCAAAAGCTGAATAAACTACAAATATTAACTCTTCTTAAATCCACCAGAGAGCTGAAGTCATAGGGCAACCAAGTAGCCTGAATTCTGAGGAGGAAAGGCCCCTCCAAGGAGAAATGGGCATGGCTTGCTTTAAGCGGAGGGTTGGGAAGAAAGACAGCCACCATACACTACTCTAAGCACAAGGCATAGGCCGATCATCAGTAGAATTTGAATCCTATGACGTAATGACTATAACCAGAAGAAGAAGAACAACCAGCTTAACTCCCAAATAGACTGACTCAACCACACTCCAACAGCCCAATAGAAGAAAAGATGTGGCTATTTCAGGCATAACTGATGCCTGATATTTGTAGAGTACTTTGGAATTTGTAAAGCACTCTGATGCAATGTTCACATGATGTTACAACAATCCTGTGAGCAAATAAAGACAGTTGTTACAAGACAGTTCTCTGCTCATTCACAGAGAAGGCTCCCAAAGGTTAACTGCTTGATCTAAGTTCCACGGTGAGTGAGAGAGAAGTGGAAAACTAACTCAGGCCTTCTGACTCTGCTCAAAGATAGCTCTAGATATCTGTACTAGATACCTCTCTACTCATAAAGTAGTAGAAAATGACAATCCAAATCACATTTCTATTCCTTGTCATGAATATAGTAGAGAGTAGTTTTAAATTACTTTCTTGCTTATTAATCCCTGTACTTCCACAAAACCAACATTTAGTTAATAACTATAGTAACTAAGATTAATTCACTGAGTACTAATTCCAAAATAATACAAACTATATCCAAAAGTGAATTGAACAATCTCTTTTGGACAGCCTCAACTCCATAGCAACAGACTGCTTACTAGTCGTCACTGTAAGGTTTGCTTTCTTCACTTCTGGACATATTTTGTGGCAGTTTCATTTTAGTACTGGCCACCTTTTCATATTTTAGTGGTATAAAGCAGGTAAGAGTTTTATCATCCAAAATAATAGTATTTCATAAAGATCAACATCTTTTTTCTTTTAAGAGGGTTTTTGACACACTAATGGAAGATATTCTTTCTCTTAAGGGGAGAAAATGTTTTATCCCTATAGGAATAGATACATAAATATAATATGAAGTCAATAAATATTTTTGTGCTTTTAATAAAGTGTATAATCTCTCTCAGTAAACTTTCTATAAAGCAACATCATTTATCATGAGAACAGTCTGGATCATGTATCTTAATACCCCCTAACACTCAAGTCAGAACATGAAAATCAGTCACAATCAACAAGATGAAATCACTGTTTCTAATCAATGGGGATTTCTTACAAGCACATCACCTGCTCCCAACTCAGGATTTATTCTTCCATTCAGTAGTTATTTCTCAATCATCTAATATCCTTGGGCACCATGCTAGGTGAACCTCTAGGATAAATGGTCATACTTTTTAATTTCAAAATCAGCCAAAAGCTATACCTAGATAAAAAGAAAACAAACGTGTACCTTTTCCTAACAGTATTCCAGCTACGAAAGCTTTCTCACAAGCCAAAGCTGTATCATCCTTCCAATCCCTTTTTGCCCAATAGTAACTGAAGTGAAAGCTTGGCCACCAGTTTTTCCTGGAGTTCCACTGTTCTTGAACCCACACAAGGTGGTTTCTGGAAAAGAAAAATGTCCAAAGGGAAGGTCAATGATGGGGAAAAATCTACACTGTCAGAATTTGAACTTAAGTAGAGTCTATGGACAGATGATAAGGAAGACATTTCCAAACCAAATTTTGAGTATGGCCAAGGCATAACACATAACTGGCAATAGCATGAAAACAAATCTTTTTGTTCTTTTTGATCTCCGCGTCTCCTTTTCCATTTAACTAAACAGCCAATTCTGTGTAGCACACTGTTTTTTTTTTTTTTTTTGAGACAGACAGAGTCTCACTTTGTTGCCCAGACTAGAGTGAGTGCCTTGGCGTCAGCCCTAGTCACACGATCACATCTCTGGGTAAGCCATCTGAGTGCCCTCCCGAGTAGCTGGGACTACAGGCATGTGCCACCATGCCCAGCTAATTTTTTGTGTATATTTTTAGCTGGCCAATTAATTTCTTTCCATTTATAGTAGAGACGGGGTCTCACTCTTGCTCAGGCTGGTTTCGAACTCCTGAACTCGAGCAATACGCCCGCCTCGGCCTCCCAGAGAGCTAGGATTACAGGCGTGAGCCACCGCGCCCGGCCTAGCACACTGTTTAATAGGATAGACTCTGAAGGGAGAATCCTGGATTCAAATCTCAGATCTTCCATTTACTATTAATGTAATCCTGGGCAAGCTGTTTAACCGCTGTGAGCTTCAGTTTCCTTGAGGACATTAATGGCACCTATCTCACAGTACTGTTACTAGAATTCAACTGGTCCAGTAGGGTTGTACAGCAGGTCTCATATAAAGCTCTATGCATGGTGTCTGGAGCATATAGTAAATGTTCAATAAATGTTATCCATTATTATTACTTAAAAGTTACTTTAAAACCTTACTTAAAATTATATGTTACCAAGGATTATTATCCAAATTAAGATGCCATTATTATAAAAATACATGACACACAGGTTTGCCAATTGATCCCAGGCAATGTTATGTGTTTGTCAATAATTTTTTTTATTATGTTTAAAATATACAACATATTTTTTTTTTTTTTTTTTTTTGAGACAGAGTCTCGCTTTGTTGTCCAGGCTAGAGTGAGTGCCGTGGCGTCAGCCTAGCTCACAGCAACCTCAAACTTCCGGGCTCGAGTGATCCTTCTGCCTCAGCCTCCCGAGTAGCTGGGACTACAGGCATGCGCCACCATGCCCGGCTAATTTTTTTATATATATATCAGTTGGCCAATTAATTTCTTTCTATTTATAGTAGAGACGGGGTCTCGCTCTTGCTCAGGCTGGTTTTGAACTCCTGACCTTGAGCAATCCGCCCGCCTCGGCCTCCCAAGAGCTAGGATTACAGGCGTGAGCCACAGCGCCCGGCCACAACATATTTTGATATACACATAACTTGCTTTTTGTGTGTGATAGGAGACCTAAAGTCTACTCTTAGTAAATTTCCAGTACATAATACAATATTAACTATGGTTCTCATGATGTCCATTCAATCTCTACAATTCATTTGAGCAAATGCTTACTTAGCACCTCTGTCCCCCCCACAGAACTTTAGAAGCTCAAAACATGAACCTCTCTGCCTTCAAGAACTGTGAGGTCTAATAGAATTTTATCCAGTGCTTGAGATTTGCAAAGTGGTTTATAGTAAGTGTGTCAACATAGCATACCAAAAACATTTCATCAGCAGCACTGTTTCATCTCCAAGGTCAAGATGATGTGAGGCCTAAAAAAAGTTCCAACTGATACTGAATTTCCTACCAGTTAACATAGACATAATAAATAAATAAACTTAATGTTGTGATCTCCTTTCTTCTCACAGAGTAAAAATAACAAGAGCAACTCCTTTTCTTTTACTCAAAATGTAACACTAATATTATAACCAGAGGTATAGTTTTAAATACCTAGAACACAATAGACTTAATAAATATTTGTTGAATGAATAATCTATGATGATCTTGTGAGGTCCTAAAAACACTCACTGAAAATGATTGAAAACAGCTAAAAGCTGCTTCCCATGTGAGAGTCCTTAGCAAAGAGTGGGAGTGATTCATTCCAATAGTTATTTCCAATTTGGAAACACACACTTATTCCCTAGCAATGCAGTGCTAAGGTACAATAGTTATTTTGACAGCACAGAAAATCTTGATAGAAGGCTGGGCGCCGTGGCTCATGCCTGTAATCCTAGCACTCTGGGAGGCTGAGGCGGGTAGATTGCTCAAGGTCAGGAGTTCAAAACCAGCCTGAGCGAGACCCCGTCTCTACTAAAGATAGAAAGAAATTAATCGACCAATTAAAAATATATACAAAAAATTAGCCGGGCATGGTGGCGCATGCCTACAGTTCCAGCTACTTGGGAGGCTGAAGCAGGAGGATTGCTTGAGCCCAGGAGTTTGAGGTTGCTGTGAGCTAGGCTGACACCACAGCACTCACTCTAGCCTGGGCAACAAAGTGAGACTCTGTCTCAAAAAATAAATAAAAGAAAAAGAAAATCTTGCTAGAATTTTTGGATGTCAGTTATCCTTATGATTCTGTATTTCCTTGGTTCAGAAGAAAACGTACTTAGAAGAAAACAGCTGAAGATACAATTCAAGAAACCTAAAAACATAAACAAAGAACTTTATTTGAAAATTGATAGATATTAGCTAAAATATTGGGAAATATTATTTATGATGATCTAGCAACAAATACTCTATGTTTCTTACCCCATTAAGGTCTGTCTCAGATATTTTGACAAATATGTCCAAGCAGTTATGTTCTTAGTGCATCCAGCAAAATCTAAAACTCCAAACACCACCTCCAATGCCAGTTTATGGTGTTCTTCTTTTTCTGCAATGGTCATAAAAGTTCAAGTTTACATGAGGTATTAAAGTGTACAAAGCTAAACACACACACACACAGAGTTGATAAAATATTATTGAATCATAAGCCTTCTGGTTTGGGTAACAGTTTAAAAAATTCATGATGTTCATGCTCCTGAGATGAATATGAAGAAATCAATAATTTAGTCCATGCTAATGAGGTCACAGTGATGAGCCTCATCCCTACATGGGTTATACTCCTCTACTTATCTACTACTGAGAACATTAAAGTACCTGCCTCTATTTGGGTGTTTTATATAAGTTATTTTCTATCAGGAGAGAAACCTCGGCAGTCTTAGGACCAATTGCACTTAATCCCAGTTGATTTCCTTCAATGGAGAAGTATGTTCCTTTCTACACTGAGCTGAAGATCAAAAGGAATTAAAATCAGGTGAATTATATATAAATTGAAGCCATTTTACTTTTACTATTGCCTGAGATTCTGTAATAAAAGTCAGCAAACTTTTTCTGCAAAGGGGCAGATAGTAATTATTTTAAGCTTTGCAAGACATATAGTCTCTATCACAACTACATAGCTTTGTCATTATAGTGCAAAAGCAGCCATAGACAGGCCGGGTGCGGTGGCTCACGCCTATAATCCTAGCTCTCTGGGAGGCTGAGGCGGGAGGATTGCTTAAGGTCAGGATTTGAAATCACCCTGAGCAAGATCCCATCTCTACTAAAAATAGAAAGAAATTAATTGGCCAATTAATATATATATATATATATATAAAATTAGCCAGGCATGGTGGCGCGTGCCTATAGTCCCAGCTACTTAGGAGGCTGAGGCAGAAGGATTGCTTGAGACCAGGAGTTTGAGGTTGCTGTGAGCTAGGCTGACACCACGGCACTCTAGCCCAGGCAACAGAGTGAGACTCTGTCTCAAAAAAAAAAAAAAAAAAAAAGTAGCCATAGACAATACAGAAATAAATGGGCTCCAATAGAAGTTTATTTATAAAAACAGGCAAAGGGGGATTTGGTCCCTGGGCCATAGTTTGCTGACTCCTAATCTACAGCTTGTCTACATAAAGAAGTATAAAACGAAAATTATTTACCTGATTTTCTAAGTAATGTATGAAATTCCAACATCAATTTATGAGATGGTACAATCCGATACAAAATCTGGAAGAAAGAACAGTCTTGTTATTTTTACACACTTATAAAAGCATTTCTCAAATTTCAGTTTACTTTCAAATAAAGTTCTTATTGTCTAATATGCTTTCAGTAAATGAATTAAGTATTTAAAAATACTTTGCTTTTTATCCAGTTTCATTCTAGGTATAGAAAAGCTTTCTCTGGAAGGCTATTTAAAAAAAAATCCCTAATAACACCTAATAACAAGATAGTCAGGAGAATAGCTCCAAATATGCATCTATACTGTTTACCATGCTTAAAAATTTAAAGCAATCTTTTTCAGAAGCCGATAAAGAGAAAAAAATAATAAAGAAAAAAAAACAATATCACAAAAATATATTATTCACTTATCAGAAAAATATCACAGAATGATTTTTCTTTTGAGACATTGTCTCACTGTGTTGCCTGGGATGGAGTGCCGTGGCGTCAGCCTAGCTCACAGCAACCTCACACTCCTGGGCTCAAGCAATCCTTCTGCCTCAGCCACCAGAGTAGCTGGGACTACAGGCACGTGCCACCATGCCCAGCTAACTTTTTTCTATTTTTAGTTGTTTGGCTAATCTCTTTCTATAGAGACGGGGTCTCGCTCTTGCTCAGGTTGGTCTTGAACTCATGAACTCAAGCAATCCTCTCGCCTTGGCCTCCCAGAGTGCTAGGATTATAGACGTGAGCCACCGCACCCGGCCTCACAGAATATTTATATAAAACAAAAAATTCACAAATGCAGGGGAGGCGATTTTATGGACTGTGCTCAGGAACACAGTATACTAAGTATTTGAGTAAATATTTTCTTTTTTTTTTTTTTTTTTTTTTTTCTTTTTACACCGAGCAGACACATGCACTGAGTAAATATTTTAACAACCTTTTTATGCAATAAAATATTTACAGGTTTTTCTTTTTTCTTATTATTTTACTATTTTTTATTATTTTCTTAAGAATAAGGCTGGAGGGATTAATCAAGATGGTGGACAAGAAACATCGCCAGGCAGAGTGTTTCTGCAGAAATGACAGATTCTAGGAGAAATCGGAAGAAAGAAGCAAGCAGACAAGCATACATTGGATGAGGGTCGGAAGGAGGGGTACCTGAGACCACCACGGGAGACCCCACGGGAGGAGGATACAGAGGAGAACTGGAAGCTGAGACAACCCGAGTAGACTGGAGACCAGCGGCAAGGGTAAGTGGCGCAGTTAACTCTCCCCTCCCCTGCATCTCCGACTGCTGGTGGGCTCCTCAGCGGTTGGAGAGACCTGCAGACACCAGCCCAGAGGTGGCCACCATCAGTGAGCAGTGGTAGCGGACGTGGCACCAGGCTCCCAACTCCCTCGGGGCACCTCCCTGTGCACAGACCCGAGCCACGCGGCAGGTGCCATATTGCCTCACTCTCCCCTCCCCCGGCCCTATCAGCGGCTGCCGAGAGGGACAATACAGCCACCAGCTGGTGGCACCTCCAGGGAACGGGACCTTCCCGTTTGGGGCCCTACAGCTGACTGAGGGGAACTCAGACAGTAAGCTCCCCACCCACCAGCCCTCCCAGGTGCTGCTGGCCCGGTGATCTCAGGAGAATGGTGCAGACCCTGAGGCTGAGAGACATAGACCCAGCTTGGGCTCCTCGTGGGTGAATGGGGACTGGCACTGCTCTCCCTGGTGGGGATAGGGATTGAACTCTGGGGCCCAGAGGTCAGACCTGCAGACCAGATCCCGGGCACCCAGGTCTCGCATTGCCCGGGGCACAGAAGGGATATACGTGAACAGCATACTGAGGTCTGTGTGCCTTCAGGTGCAGATCAGTGTCCTAGAGGGCAACCCTCCTCCCAAAGGGGTGCCGTGCACCCAGCCCAAGTGCCGTTCCTGCACAGGGAAACTCCTGGCCGGCATCACAGCCAGGGGAGGCCTAGTAGTGTGAGGTCTGGCCTGCTGGCAGAGGCCCAGGAGTAGCTGTGGAGTTGGGGAGAGTGGAAAGAAGTGAGGCCTGCTCCAGACTGCAGGTCTTAGCCCCACCCCACACAGTAGACTTTCTGAATAAGTGGGGCCACTCCAGCCCCTCCCTGACAGCTTTTCCCGGAAGCAGAGAACAGAACTTTGACCCCTGCTAACAGCATTGGTGGTGCCTGAGGGCAGGCTTACCCAACCCAGCTCCACCCAGAGGAGAGGGAGAAAAGGACACACCTGGAAGTCCCAGGGCCCCACCCACCACCTGAAGCACTAGAGTGCTTCTCTTGAGGAACAAGAGCTGGTTACAGGACAGAAAAACAACAGTAACCTATTCCTCCAAGCAAGCGCTACCTACTGACAGGGAGGACATCCTGCACAGCCTTTTCACGGCACCTACTGACTTATCATACAGGAAGTGGTTGAATCTCACCCACAGGCCCCACCTACCGGCTCAGAAACTAAACAAGGTGTATGAATACCCAAACGAAAACCTAAAGGAAAGAAGCAACAACTGATTGAGATGGGAAGAAATCAGTGAAGGAACTCAGGAAATATGAAGAACCAAACGGAAACCACACCCCCAAAGAGGAGCACCAGCCCCTTAGAAACGGACACCAACAAAAATCAGGCAACCAAAATGGCAGAAGAGAAATTTCAAATATGGATCATAAGAAGACTGAATGACCTGCAAGAACAACTGTATAACCAACACAAAGAAAACACAAAAAGACTCCAGTACCTGGAACAAAAATTCACTAAAAAAATCGATACAATGAAGAACAGTTTAACAGAACTCCTGGAAATGAAGAATCAATTCAGGGAACTACAAAATACAGTGGAAAGCCTCAAGAACACAATAGATCAAACAGGAGTAAGAATCTCAGAGATTGAAGATAACACCTTCCAATTAAATAAAGCAGTCACAGAGATAGAGCAGAGAAACAAGACAAAAGAGCAAAGCCTACAAGAGATGTGGGATTATGTGAAAAAACCTAATGTGAGGGTCATACGGTTACCAGAAGGGAAGAAGAAAACACTCAAGGGTTGGACAAGCCATTTGAAGATATAATAGAGGAAAATTTCCCAGGCCTTACTAAAAATCTCGATATACAAGTTCAAGAAGCTAAGAGGACCCCTGGGAGATTCAATGCAAACAGGAAGACGTCACGACATGCAGTCATCAGACTGATCAAAATATCAACTAAAGAGGCCCTTCTAAGAGCTGTAAGACGAAAGAAGCAAGTAACGTACAAGGGAAAGCCAATTCGAATAACACCAGACTTCTCTACTGAGACTTTACAAGCAAGGAGAGACTGGGGTCCCATTCTCACTCTTCTGAAACAGAACAATGCCCAGCCTAGAATCTTATTCCTGCAAAACTAAGCTTCATATATGAAGGAGAAATCAAAACATTCTCAGATAAGCAAAGACTGAGGGAATTCACCAAGACAAGACCAGCCCTTCAAGAAGTACTCAAAACAGTGTTACCCACGGATCAGCACAATAAACACTCATGAATGTAAATCTACTCAAAGCTAAAGATCAAAGCCTAGATAACACAATGGCTCAAGAGAGAAAACAAAGCAACAAAGTTCAACCCAACATAATGAACAGAAATCTTCCCCACCTATCAGTTATCTCAATAAATGTGAATGGCTTGAACTACCCACTCAAGAGACATAGGCTGGCCGAATGGACAAAAAAACACAAGCCAACTATCTGCTGCTTTCAGGAAACACATCTAACCTGCAAGGACGCATATAGACTAAAGGTAAAGGGGTGGAGAACAATAATTCAAGCAAACAATATTTTAGCCAAAAGAAAGCTGGCGTGGTGGTGCTGATTACAGATAACTTAGTTGTTAAATCAACAAAAGTAATAAAAGACAAAGAAGGTCACTATATAATGGTGAAGGGTACAGTTCAACAAGAAGACATAACAATTCTAAATATATATGCATCCAACCTTGATGTACCCAGATTCACAAATTAAACTCTAGTTGATCTAAACAAATGGATAAACAACAATACCATAATAGTCGGAGACTTTAACACCCCACTGACAACACAAGACAGATCCTCCAAACAGAAAATCAACAAAGAAATAATGGACTTAAAGAGAACTCTAGAAAAAATGGGCCTGACTGACATTTACAGGACATTCTACCCTAAAACCACTGAATATACGTTCTTCTCATCAGCTCATGGGTCATTCTCTAAGATTGACCATATCCTAGGACACAAAGCACGTCTCAAATAATTTAAAAAAATAGAAATTATACCATGTATCTTTTCAGACCACAATGGAATAAATATAGAAATCAACCCTAACAGGAGTTCTCATTTCTACACACAGTCATGGAAACTAAACAACCTTCTGCTGAATGAACAATTCATAAACAAGGAAATCAAGATGGAAATCAAAAGATTCTTTGAACTAAATGACAAAGGTGACATAAGTTACCAAAACCTGTGGGACACAGCTAAAGCAGTCCTGAGAGGAAAGTTTATTTCCATGAATGCCTATATCCAAAAGTTGAAAAGATCACAAATAGACAATCTAATGAATCGTCTCAAAGAGCTGGAAAAAGAAGAACAGACCAACCCCAAACCCAGCAGAAGAAGTGAAATCATTAAGATCAAATCAGAACTAAACAAAATTGACAACAGGGAAACTATACGGAAGATTAATAAAACAGAAAGTCAGTTCTTTGAAAAATAAACAAAATTGACACACCATTGGCTAGACTAATGAAAAGCAGAAAAGAAAAATCTCTAATAATCTCAATCAGGAACAATAAAGGAGAAATTACAACTGATGCTACGGAGATACAAGATATAATTTATGAATACTACAAAAACCTCTATGCACACAAACTGGAAAATGTGGAGGAAATGGACAATTTCTTAGAAACACACAGCCTCCCTAGGCTCAACCAGGAAGAAATAGAATTCCTTAACAGATCAATATCAAGTACTGGAATTGAAACAGCAATAAAAAACCTTCCTAAAAAGAAAAGTCCTGGACCAGATGGTTTCACACCCGAATTATATCACACTTACAAAGAAGAACTAGTGCCTATCCTACAGAAATCATTCCACAACATCTAGAAGGATGGAATCCTCCCCAACACATTTTATGAAGTGAACATAACCCTGACACCAAAACCAGGAAAGGATGCAACAAAAAAAGAAAACTACAGACCAATATCCCTTATGAATACAGATGCAAAAAAATCTCAACAAAATCATAGCCAATCGAATCCAGGTACTTGTCAAGAAAATAATTCATCACAACCAAGTGGGCTTCATCCCAGGCATGCAGGGATGGTTCAACATACGCAAATCTATAAATGTAATTCACCATATAAACAGAAGCAAAAACAAAGAACATATTATCCTCTCAATAGATGCAGAGAAAGCATTTGACAAAATTCAACACCCTTTTATGATAAGAACGCTTAATAAAATAGGCATAGACGGGGTTTACCTAAAAAAGATACAAGCCATATACGACAAACCCACAGCCAATATCATACTGAATGGGGAAAAATTGAAAGCATTCCCACTTAGAACTGGAACAAGACAAGGTTGCCCACTATCTCCACATCTGTTCAACATAGTGCTGGAAGTCCTCGCTACAGCAATCAGACAAGAGAGCGGAATTAAGGGCGTCCAAATGGGAGAAGAGATCAAACTCTCACTTTTTACTGATGACATGATATTATACCTAGAAAACCCCAATGATTCAACCAAGAGACTCGTTGAATTGATAAATTTGGTAAAGTCTCAGGATACAAAATCAATACACAGAAATCAGAGGCATTCATATGCACCAACAACAGAAAAAGTGAGAACCAAATCAAAGACTCAATTCCCTTCAAAATAGCAACAAAAAAATTAAAGTACCTTGGAATATATTTAACTAAGGAGGTAAAAGACCTCTACAGGGAGAACTATGAAACACTGAAGAAGGAAATAGCAGAGGATGTAAACAGATGGAAGAATATACCATGCTCATGGGTCAGCAGAATCAACATTGTTAAAATGTCTATACTACCCAAAGTGACCTACAGAGTCAATGCAATCCCTATCAAAATACCATCATCATTTTTCACAGACATAGAAAAAATAATTTTATGCTTCGTATCGAACCAGAGAAGACCCCATATAACAAAATCAATCCTAGGCAATAAAACCAAAATAGGAGGTATCAATCTACCAGACTTCAAACTAGACTACAAGGCTATAGTAATTAAAACAGCTTGGGATTGGCATAAGAACAGGGACATTGACCAGTGGAACAGAACAGAGAACCCAGATATAAAACCATCCTCATATAGCCAACTAATCTTTGACAAAGCAGACAAAAACATACACTGGGGAAAAGAATCCTTATTCAATAAATGGTTTTGGGAAAACTGGATAGCCACATGTAGAAGACTGAAACAAGACCCACACCTTTTACCTCTGACAAAAATCAACTCACACTGGGTAACAGGGAACCTTAGGTATGAAACTATTAGAATTCTAGAGGAAAATGTTGGAAATACCATTCTAGACATTGGCCTAGGCAAAGAATTTATGAAGACGACTCCAAAGGCAATCACGACAGCAACAAAAATAAACAAATAGGACCTGATCAAATTAAAAAGCATCTGCAGAGCCAAAGAAACTGTCAAGAGAGCAAACAGACAACCCACAGAATGGGAGAAAATTTTTGCAAGCTACACATCTGATAAAGGGCTGATAACTAGAATCTATTTAGAACTCAGAAAATCAGCAAGAAAAAATCAAACAACCCTATCAAAAATGGGCAAAGGACATGAATAGAAACTTCTCAAAAGAAGACAGAATAATGGCCAACAAACATATGAAAAAATGCTCAACATCTCTAATCATCAGAGAAATGCAAATCAAAACAACAATGAGACATCACTTAACTCCAGTGAGAATGGCCTTTATCAAAAAGTCCCCAAACAATAAATGCTGGCATGGATGTGGAGAGAGAGGAACACTCCTACACTGCTGGTAGGACTGCAAACTAGTTCAACCTCTGTGGAAAGCAATATGGAGATACCTCAAAGCGATACAAGTAGATCTACCATTTGATCCAGCAATTCCACTACTGGGCATTGACCCAAAAGATCAAAAGTCACTTTATGAAAAAGACACCTGCACTTGAATGTTTATAGCAGCATAATTCACAATTGCAAAGCTGTGGAAACAACCCAAGTGCCCATCAATTCATGAGTGGATTAATAAAATGTGGTATATGTATACCATGGAATACTACTCAGCTTTAAGAAACAATGGTGACATAGCACCTCTCGTATATTCCTGGATAGAGCTGGAACCCATTCTACTAAGTGAAGTATCTCAAAAATGGAAAAACCTGTACATGTACTCACCAGCAAATTGGTATTAACGGATCAACACCTAAGTGGACATATAGGAGTAACATTTATCCGGTGTCAGGAGGGTGGGACGGGGGAGGGGGATGGGTATATACAACCAAACGAGGAAGATGTGCAACATTTGGGGGATGGACATGCTTGAAACTCTTACTCAAAGGGGGGGGGCATGGACAATATATGTAACCTTAACACCTATACCCCCATAATATGCTAAAATTAAAAAAATAATAATAAATAATAAATTTAGGCATTAAAAAAAAAAAAAGAATAAGGTTGGGTGTGGTGGCTCATGCCTGTAATCCTAGCAATCTGGGAGGCCCAGGAGGGAGGATCGCTCAAGGTCATGAGTTCAAGACGAGCCTGAGCAAGAGTGAGACTCCCATCTCTCCTAAAAATAGAAAGAAATTAGCTGGACAACTAAATATATATATAGAAAAAATTAGCCAGGCATGGTAGTGCATGCCTGTAGTCCCAGCTGCTCGGGAGGCTGAGGCAGAAGGATCGCTTGAGCCCAGGAGTTTGAGGTTGCTATGAGCTAGGCTAATACCACGGCACTCTAGCCCAGGCAACAGAGCAAGACTCTGTCTCAAAAAAAAAGAACAAGAAGGATTATTTTTATGAATATTTAAAAAGCAGGATTTAAAGTAAATCTATATTTTTCATTGTAACACATTTGATATTAGAAATGAATTCATTCTGTAGGCTTCCTGAGGTACTCTGACTTTATACTGAAATAATTTCCAATAAAATTAAAAGTAAATTTTTAAATTTTCTCTTTATAGTTTTTTAAAAAATCAGTCATGATCAATATACCAGTATTAGATAATACTATTGCAACTGGGTTCCTATGAAAGTCACATTTGTCTCATAATATATAGAATTCTGTGTATGGCTGAATTCACTTAGACTATTAAAAAACTTTTTATTGAAATGTAACACATGTACTAGAAATATACAGAAATCATAAGTGTAACATTCAATCGATTTTCACAAAGTTCAACACACTCACGTAACCAGCAACCAAATCAAAGAACAAATCATTACCAACACTCCAGCCATTAAGCTCTTAAACCATTACATTCTTCAAATATTAGAGTTTTTAAAAAATGCGTTTGTTTGCTTTTGCCCTGTTCTCTCTGTCCTCTCCCTAGGACTCCAATTATGTCAGACTCTTTCACCAGTTCCCTGTATACTTTTTTCTGCACTTTCCATCCTTTTTGCTCTCTGCACGCTATAATATTAAAGTTGGAAGCAATAACGTAAGAATGTTTTAATGTAGATCCCCACCCCCATTCAAACACTGAAATAAAAATTCTATACCTTAAGCACACTTAGCAGTTTTGCTCTTGGTGCCTTCTTTCTCTTTAGAAAGTTATATAAGTAGATATGAGCATTCGGATTTGATGGGAACTTTTCATCATACGCATAATTGGTGAGTACCTCTCGGGCTGCATCTTGATCCCCATAGAATTCCAGCATCTATATAAAATAAATCATTATATCTTAGCTAAATTGTGTAAGATTGCTATACAGAAGATCAGCTTAACTTTACAGATGGGGAAAAAAAATCCCAAAACTGACAAACAGTTCTGCATAGGGAATAATAAATGCTAATTTTTGCTTTCACCAGTGTATGTTATAACATCAATGGAACACAGACACTCACTCACAACAAAGGCTTGCATGAGTTCCCATTTTTTCTTTATGATATTTCGTTACTGAAAAATGCAGTAACTTCAACATAAGAACTTTTCCTACAAGAAATAAGAGTCTCAAAGCAGAGTACGCCAATGACAAGCAACGGGATACAACTAACCTCAGTGCCCTACACACTTTCAGACACAGAAGAAGTGTTTACTAGTTATAGTTACTTTCATTCTGTTTCCATACTCACACAAAAATTCCCATATTCACTGGAATATGGTTTGGGGGCTTATCTTCAGACAATACAATTATCACTTTAGCACTCATTAACTTTCAAAAGGCAAATTATTTTAAAGATTTATTCCTAGTGTCCAGTGCCAAGGCCTGCAGTCCTTTTATAATGACTCTGGGATGACAGAACATTCTTATGAACTTCCTAAAAGGCATTACTCTTCATCGTGTATATTGTAACCTACTTTTAGATTTTTGTTTTCTTTCTATATCCCATGAAATCATAAAAGATGTTCCTGTGTTTCTTTTAAGCTCAAAAAAAGATAGAAGTAACATTTACAACTATACTGCTATTTATTTTATAGATATTTGACCATGATGGGTTACCTATTGCTTAAAATAAACAGAGTAACATTTACAGTATACTAGCAAAATAAACAGAAATTATTCAAACCAAAAAAAGACATTCCACTAATAAATTTCATAAAAAATTCTACTTACCTCTATATAACTCTTCACAAAAGGGTCCCAAACTCCAGGAATTTTAATCAATGCACCAAGATTGACAGATGTTTTCCAGCTGCGGTTAACCATACTTCGGGTTGCAGTGCCATAAGCATAATCCTCCTTATCTTCCAAGATAGAAGATTTTTAAAAGTCATTCAGTATTAAGTACGTCTATTAAATTAGTAATCAAAAAACTACCCACAAGAAAAGGCCAGGTTCTGATAGCTGCAGTGGTGAATTCTAAGAAACATTTAAAGAACAATACTAATTCTTCATCAATTCCCCCCAAAAAGGACAGAAAGGAACATTTCCAAACTTATTCTATGAAACCAGTATTACCCTGATACCAAAAACCGACAAAGAAAACACAAGAAACTATAGAGTAGTGTCTCTTATAAATATAGATGCAAAAATCTTAACAACAAAAAAAAATACTAGGAAACTAAGTCCAGCAACATACACCATACCCAAGTGAGATCTATTCCAGGAATGCAAGGTTGGCTTAACATCTGCAAATCAATTAATGCAAATAATAAAGATCTATTGATCTAAACCAAATCGAGAGAATAAATGACAAAAGTCACATGATCATCACAACAGACGCAGAAAAAGCATTTTAAAACATTCAAAACCCTGGTAGAACTGGCAGTATTAAAAAAAAAAAAAAAAAAAACTCAGCAATCCATCATCATAAAAACACTTGACAATCTAGGAACAGAAGGAACTTCCTCAATCTGATAAAGGGTATCCATGAAAAACCCATGGCTAACATCAAACTTAATGATAAAAGATTGCATGCTTTATCCCTAAAATCAGGAACAAGACAGGGGGGTACTTTCTCACTACTTCTTTTAATTATGGAGGTTCTAGCCAGGAGAATTAAGCCAGAATATAACAGATTGGAAAGGAAGAAGCAAAACTATTTCTATTTGCAGATGACATGATTTTGTACATAGAAAATCCTAAGAATCCACTAAAAACTTATTAAAACTAATAAATGGGCCCATCAAGGTTGCAGACTACAAGATCAATACACAATAATTAGTTTTATGTCTATACACTTGCAATGAACAATTAGAAAATAAAATTAGGAAAACAATGCCATTTGCAAAAGCATCAAAAAACATTAAAATACTTAGGTATAAAAGTTATATTGGTGAAAGAAACTTAAAAAGACCTAAGTAAATGGAAATATAGTCCATGTTCATGGGTTGGAAGACTTACTACTGTTAAATTGTTAAATTGATCTACAGATATATGTAAGTCCTATCAAATCTCAGATGACCTTTTTGCATAAACTGACAAGCTGATTCTATTAATATAATTCATGTGAAGATTTAAAAGACCAAGGAAGAACAAAGAAGCTTTAAAAACAAGAACAAAGTTGGAAGATGTACAGTATACTTCAAAAGTTACTACAAAGCTACAGTAATCACAGTGGTAATATAAAATGGTACAGTTGCTTGGAAAACAGTCCAGTGGGTCTTCAAAAGGAAAAACATAAGAGTTGTATGACCTAGCAATTTTACTCTTTATTCTGAGAGAAATAAAAACAAATGTCCATTCAAAATCTTATACATGAATGTACACAGCAATGTTATTTAAAAGAGCCAAAAATTAGAAACAACTGAATTGTCCATCAATGATGAATGCAAACACAAAAGGTGGCATATCTATATAATGGAATATTATTTAATAATAAAAAGGAATAAAGTACTATTACATGCTACATTATGCTAAGCAAAAGAAGCCATTCACAAAAGACCACATACATATTGTATGATTCCATTTATATGAAATATCCAGAACAGACAAACATCTAGATAGAGAAAGTAGATTAGTGGTTGCCTAGGACTGGAGGGATTGAGGAGAAATGGAAAGTATGGGATTTCTTTGTAGGGTGATGAAAGTATTGTAAAACTGATTTTGGTGATGGTTGCACAACTCTGTGAATATACTAAAAATCACTGAATTGGACATTTTAAGTGGGTGAATTGTATAGTATGTGAATTATATCTCAGTTCTCAATAAAGCTGTTAAAAAAACCATGAGAGACCACTACACTCAACAAATTGGCTGATGTGAAAACTCTGATCATAACAAATGTTAGGGGGAAGATAGACAAAAGAAAACTCTAATCAGATTGCCAGTAGAGTGTAAATTAGTAACATCTTTGGAAAGAGTTTAGCATATTATATGCTAAAGTTGAAAATACACACACTCTATGACAACAATTCTCCTGGAAACGCATGCTCATGTGCACCAGGATACAGAAATTTACAGGGCTTAATTTCAAAGCAGCATTACTTAATAATAGCTCTAAACTAAAATAACCTAAATGACCATCAATAAAAGAAGGAAAAACATGAATATTATACAATCAAATGTTTTATAATGGTAAAAGTGAATAAACTAGAGCTATATTCAACAATATGTATGTATTTTAAAACCAATGTTGAACAAAATATGCAAGGCCCACGAGAATATATATATACATACATACATACATACATATATATATAATGAATCTAAATATAACATTCAGATATAAGCAAAACTAAATTACATTATGGATGCATACATGAATGGAAAGAGTATAAAGAAAAGCAAGGGGCTAATTAAGATAGAAGTCAGTACAGTGATTTTCTTTAGACAGGAGAGGAAGTGTGATCAGGAAGGTGTATGCGAAGAACTTTTAGATTAGGGTGACAATATGTTGTGATCCTTAATCTGGGTGGTGGTTACATGGATGTTCACTTTAAATTTATCTACTATATCACATATGTGTTTTATATAATTTTTCTGTATATGTTCTATTTCACAATCTTAAAGGTTTATATGGAAAGTTACTCTTCCAAAACCAATAGCTAATAGAAGCACAACAGAAAGAGGCATTGGTATTCTTTTCTCAATGGATCAAGTAAATATATTTCAATATGGGCTTAGAAATGAGGTGATAAGTAAATAGGAAAATAATATGGAAAAAACATTTTTTAAGAAAAAAAAAGGCAGATCCCTAAGTACAAACTGGGTGTGAATTTACTATGGGCAGTTCCTGGTCACAGTTCATCAAACACAACCAAGGCCGAGGCACTGCAGCAAGGAAAAAATCTGAAGCTGACTCTGAGCACAAGTTCACATGTTAAGTTCTTACAAGCTACATTTTATAGAACTAGTCCTAAGCTTTTTTCTCATTAAACAGACATCTGAGGTTAAAGATCATCTAAAGAGCTCTACATATTATCCCATCTTCATCTCTTATTGCTACAGAACTTTGAGTTGAAGAAAAGTACTATATTATCTATGCATGGGAATGACAGTATAAATGCTCTGTTTTAACTGCTTGAATCATCAAATATTTGCTTGACTTCTACTTAACCAGTGAAAGAAAAGTAAATATTGACTTTAAAATTCACCTAATTAATATCAGTAAGCTTTTTTTTAAAAAAGAAATATTACAACAGAAATCATGACAAGGCTAACAAAAGAAATAGAGGACAAATCCATGACATCAAAAGATTGATTGGTCTAGATGAGAAGACACACATAAAATGCACATGAAAAACTTAGAACAATTAAAAAGAGATGAAGAACCAAATGATACAGGCTGAATATACAGCTTATATAGTAGAGTGAATGTGTAAGAATGAGAGGTTGGGGCAGGGTCTAATGTGTCTCAAAGGGCAGAGGGCATTCTCGATGAGACTGCACAAAGACCTCAAGATTATCATGATGAAGATAGCACTTCAGAAGTATCTTGAGAGAAGAGGGAAGGGAATTAAGATTAGTGAACCTACATGCCCAGAGATCAAGGAAATACTAGTTATCACATGAGGATAATAAGGAAATACTGCTTACCACATATGAGGTGATAAATACCAGGACTAAGATTTAGATGGAGGATGTGGAAACAGAAAGAGATTAATCCTAGAGAGACTATGGAGAAAAACTATACAAGAGAAAGAACAGTGCAGAGAATCATACAGCTCTAAAGAATGCAAATCTAGGCAGAGGAGAGGACAACACCACTACTTAAGGTTAAGAAAGGGGAACTCAGTTTGAGAACTGAATGTTCAATTTTCGGTATGGTCAGTAAATCAAGAAAACTACAACCTTTGTATAAAAATGAAATGATTTTATCTTGCTCTATTCTTTAAACATATTATTCTAAGAAACAACATGGTAAGACAAATTAAACTCCATTTTAAACACATAGGAAGACCATAGGCAATAATGACCATTAGAGAAAATCTACAGTCTTTGTTGGAAATTGACTAAGATTCTCTCCTTAACCAAACCCCAGGCAGGCTCCTCTGAGCCCTCTTCTAGACAAGGCCTTGACCTTGGCCTATAAAGGCTTGAACAAACACTACCGTAGTTTCCAGCAGCTCAAGGCCACATCTCTAGAATGACCCTAACCCCCCTTAAAGTGCCTGCCTGAGAAAACTCAAGACTGCCCAAAGAATTTACCGTTGGTTCCGGACAACGCTTGAAGACAGGGCTCTGTCTCTCAATCTCTGTGGGAGAGTAGGCACCTAACTTCCATAAGCACCAGTTAATAAACGCAGATGGGTTTCACATGAATCAACCTTCCCTTCTGCTTTTTTAATTTTTCACTTCTCTGACTCTGCTCAAGACCCCCCATATCACTGTCTCTTTAAAAACCAGGTTACCTCTGTGCAAATCAGAATGGAGCTTAGTTCTTTCCTCTACTATCAGTAGTTACTGAATAAAATCTGTTTTCACAGCTGACTTATGTCCAGTTGTGTTTATCCTTGACAAAATCAAATTTTAAAAAGCAATGACTTTAATCTAATTTATGACTGAAAAGTTTTTGATATATCAGAAAATATTATAAAGGATGATCAAGAATTAAATCAATAAAATGCCTGCTCTCTGAAATAGATGTAGTGGGGGAATTACTAGATTGCTCCTTAAGATCCCTCTGCCCATGCCAGGTACAGCAGCCTGTAGTTCTACCTACTTGGAGGCTGAGGTGGGATGGATGACTTCAACTTAAGAGTTCTAAGTCCAGCCCAGGCAACACAGCAAGACCCTGTCTCTTTAAAAAAAAAAAAAAATCCCTCTGCCCTTTAGTCTCATCCACAAGAAGGTTTACTCACCAAACTTTGACAATTCCTTCTTCTTTGTAGACCAATTATAATACTGCAAAAGTCCTTTATAGGCCTGAACAAGGTTGATTAATACTTCCTGGGAAGATGACTTTTCACCATATCTCCATGTCTCTGCCTGACTCAGATTTCTGTTGGCATCCTCAAGCATTCCATGATGTAGAAGGTATAATGCATGTTGTAAGGAAATCTATAAAAATTATGAGAAATAGCCCACTGACATTTTAGTCATTAGCAACCATTAGTCAAAATGCTCAGGAAATATACTACATACAGTGTGCTATGACCTGATAAGATACAAATGACACGACATTGTTCCTGACATCAAAATTTTCAATCAGCTGGGCATGGTGGCCCATGCCCATAATCCAAGCTACTCAGGAGGCTGGGGCAGGAAGACTTGAGCCCTGGAGTTCAAGGCTGCAGTGAGCTATGATTGCCCACGACTGCACTCCAGTCTGGGCAATTGAGGGAGACCCTCCCTCAAAAAAAAAATCCAACCAAAACCTTCAATTTAGCAAAGAGGAAAGACATAAGAAGCAATTAACACTATGTAAATAAGATCTAAATTATGTGAATTTGCAAACAGAAGACAGTATAATATAGTAGAAAAAAATTTAAAGACGGAGTGTTCTGGTTCATATGCCACCTAAAAGCTAAATAAACCTGGGTAAATTATTCACCCTTTGTGAATCTCATCTGTTATACAGAACAATTATTATTAAACCTTCAGAAGGGTGTTTTGAGAATTAAATGAGATAGTATCTGCATATCACCTAATGCCTACTTTGGCTCATAGCAGACAATCAATAAATACAACTATTTTATATATGTTATATAAGCTTAGAGAAAACATCTTAATAAGGGGTGTTAAAGAATAGCTTTAGTTCACATGGAAAGGAAAGTACATCCCTAATACAGGGGAAGCAATAAGAATAATTATACAAAGAACAACATTACAAGAAGGGATGACATTAAAGAGGAGAATAATGAGAAGTACAATTAATCATATAGAGAGAGACAGATCAAGACTGTCATCTCAAATTATTGCAATAATTTCCCCACTGGTCTCTCCATTCCTACAATCCATCTTCCAAATGGCTACCAAAGAAATGTAATCTTGTTAATCATTTGTACAAAATCCCTCAATGGCTCTCACTGACTACAGAATAAAATCCAGGCTCCTTAGGTACGGCACACAGTCTACTTCTCCTACCCAAGTAATTTTTAGAGTAACTAAAGCCTCAGATACAGGGCTGTCAGACTCCTCACTACCTGCTGCCATGCCGGACCACCTTTTCCCCAGCTTACCTAGTGAACACCCACTTGCTTTTTCAAACTATCTCAACCATCACTTCCTTTCTCTTCCTGATTCCCCTACCCACTCAACCCCAGCTCCCAGAGAGTTGATCATTTTCTCCTTTCTCTTCACGCTGTATGCATATGTAGCCACAGCACTTCATTCCTTACATGCCTGTCTCCCTCTACTGAAAGAACCATGTCTAGCACATTGCCTGAAAAACAGTCATAGGCAGTTTTTAAAATTATTAACAACAACAAAAAAATGTTTTATAGCCTATCCTAATTATCATCCTCTGGCTCTGGAGTGAGAAATGAGGTGCCTTTCCAGTTTCTTTATTTCAACTAAGCAAAGTCTATGAGCTGAAAAGGGATCTAACCAACAATTTAGTTAAAACCCCACACTCCCTCCCCAATCAATGGTTATCCAGTTTCTACCTGAAAAAAGAGATGGGGAGTACATAAAACATCAAGGCAGGCCATTCCTTTTCCTAATTGTTCAATTAGAAAGCTCTCCCTTAAGTGGAACCTTAGCTGCCTCTATTTAATTTCCACTTACAGTAAACCTGGTCTATCAGTGAACAAGATTATAAGAGATCAATAGAAAGGAGAGAATTAGAAAGATGATGATTGTATGAAAAATAAAAATTTAAAAAAAAAAGATCATAAGAGAATGCCTGGCACATAATTTTTCTTAAATTATTTAATAAACTATAAAAAGAATTGTTACGTGGGGAAATTTGTTTTCAAAATTAGAAAGCTATGGGAATGTAAAATGGTACAGCCACAGTTGGCAATTCCAAAAAATGTTAAAACACAGAATTGTGTGTGTTTGTGTATAATGATCTCACAATTCTACTCCCAGATATATGCCCAGAGGAATTGAAAACAAGGATTCAAAGCAGATACTTACATGCCAGAGTTCACTGAAGCATGACTTACAATAGCCAAAAGGTGAAAACAACCCAACAACAGATAAATGGATAAGAAAAATGTAATATACAGTAGAATATTATTCAGCCATAAAAAGGAATGACATTCGGATACATACTACAACAGAAATCTTGAAAACATTATGCTAAGTAAAATAAGCCAGATACAAATGGATAAATATTGTATGATTTAACTCAGATGAAATACATAGAATAGGTAAATTCATGCAGGCAGAAAATAGATTAGAGGTTACCAGGAGCTGGGGAGAGGAGGGAATAGGAAGTTATTGCTTAATGAGTACAAAGTTTCTGTTTCAGGTAATGGAAAAGTTTTGGAAATAGTGGTGATGGTGATACAATATAATAAGTGAATATAATTAACACCACTGAATTGTATACTTAAGAATGGTTAAAATAGTATATTTTATACTATGTATATTTTACCACAATAAAAAAAATTGGGAAAACAAAAATATTAAAAAACATTAAAAACTTAAAAAGAGCCACAAGTACATATTTTAGGCTTTGTGGGCCATATGATTTCTGTCACAATCACTCAACTCAGTCACTGTCATGCAAAAGTAGCTATTGACAATATGGAAATAAACAGGTGTGCCAGTGTTCCAATAATACTTTATGGTCATTGAAAAAAATTTAAAAGCAAAGCATTTATAAAACTGTATTGAAAAAGTATTCTTTGAGTCAAAAATATACCACAAAGAGGGAAAAACAATATTTTGGAAAATGTCTCAATCCCTCTGGATAAGATTTTTATTAAAGAATATATGAATTTGCACTCTGGGAGGCTGAGGCAGGCGGATTGCTCAAGGTCAGGAGTTTGAAACCAGCATGAGCAAGAGTGAGACCTCTACTATAAATAGAAAGAAATTAATTGGCCAACTAAAATATATAGAAAAAAATTAGCCAGGCATGGTAGCGCATGCCTGTAGTTCCAGCTACTCGGGAGGCTGAGGCAGGAGGATCGCTTGAGCCCAGGAGTTTGAGGTTGCTGTGAGCTAGGCTGACGCCACAGCACTCACTCTAGCCTGGGCAACAAAGTGAGACTCTGTCTCAAAAAAAAAAAAAGAATATATGAATTTGGAAAGAAGGTCCCACCTAAACATTAAGAACATTAAAACAAGTTTGTGTATTCAAATTCCCAACTTGTTTAGCACTTCCTTTTTCTAAAAACATCAACTCTAAGCTCAAATGACTTAAGTAAACATACTAGAATTTGGTCCATCACCATATGAAGTACAACTGCAGGCTCTGAGGACTGGCTTTGGCAGTGAGAGATATGCAGAAAGATGGTATTTTCAGTCAGAGAACATGGTAGGTAACTGGAAACCAAGAAGTAAAATAAATGGTTCTCACAAGTTTCTCTTATTTAGCTAGATGTCTTACCCTTTTGCCCATGATTTTCACATTATTATCTACTTTATTACTGACACAAACAATTAAAAAAAATGAACACTGCAAATGTAAATTTATAAAGCCTACATTCTTACCTTTAAATAATTCATGACACCAATATTTTTCATCCGGTCAGCAAAGGTATTGAAAGTCTCCACGTTGCTTTTGGGATGATAAAACAGAATTTCACTTCCAAGTTTCCAAATAATCTGTTAAAGCAGAAATTTACCAAAATGTAAAATCCTTCCATTAACCAATTTCTGCCTAAGACAGTTTTTTTTTATTACAACATTAGTAAGCAACCTATAATTCCTTTTCCTAGAGACCAATACTGTCAACATCTTACTGTAATTTGCCCAATCATTACAATCTATGTGATAAAAATCTTATCATTTAAATTAATATTAAAATACCAGGTAAGTATAACAGTCCCAACTATTAAGTTAGTAGGCTAACACTGGCTTCTTCGCTCATCACAGTCTCATCTTTATCATCTGCAAAATGAAGGCAAAGAACTAGACATTTCCAAGACCTCGTTAAACTCTGGAACTATTGACTATATTTATTCTCTATTTAGAATGCCAATTTAAGAATTTTCATCAGCTATGGACAAATTTTAATTAAAAAAAATTTTCCCCTCAGATCATCAAAACTTTTGTGACAGAACTTGGAGCTCTTCTTTTTTCATGGGAGCAAATCTCTATTTCCCTCATCCCAATTTAAAGTACTTCAATAGTATCAATTTGAAAGAAAATTAAAGTGAACGTTAAATCAATTATTTCTGTAAACAAACACATTGGCTGTGGATGTATACACATACAAAATACTATCAGTGGTATGATGATCTATTATACACATATTATCATTTCATATAATGATAATACTCATCTTCCCAACTCAGAAAGATCAAGATTTCATTTGTAGAATAACAAACTGCAGTATTTGGGACCTTTAGGAAACTTTGAAGATTATCTATTATAGTTGTTCTTAAACTCAGGTGAATATAAGAACTACCTGGGATGCCTGTTAAAAATAAATATTCTATAGATTTCAGTTTCTTGAGCAAAAATAAATAAATAAATAAATAAATATTCTAAGTATCCAGATTCTGATCCAGCATGGATGGGGTGGAGTACAGGAATTTTTATTTTCATCAAAAGCCCTAGGTGATTCAAAAAGAGCCAAACAGGCCGGGCGCTGTGGCTCACGCCTGTAATCCTAGCTCTTGGGAGGCCGAGGCGGGCCGATTGCTCAAGGTCAGGAGTTCAAAACCAGCCTGAGCAAGAGCCAGACCCCGTCTCTACTATAAATAGAAAGAAATTAATTGGCCAACTGATATATATATATAAAAAATTAGCCGGGCATGGTGGCGCATGCCTGTAGTCCCAGCTACTCGGGAGGCTGAGGCAGAAGGATCACTCAAGCCCAGGAGTTTGAGGTTGCTGTGAGCTAGGCTGACGCCACGGCACTCATTCTAGCCTGGTCAACAAAGCGAAACTCTGTCTCAAAAAAAAAAAAAAAAAAAAAAAAAAAAAAGAGCCAAACAAGTACTCGAAAACCACTGATACAATTCCTTCATTTTACAAAACAAAATCTGGACAAAAAGAGCCCGTAACTTGTCCAATGTTTTAAAGCTGTATGTAACTTTAGTCCACAAACTAAATTTTCAATCAATGGTTAAACTTTTTTCTTTCAGATTTTTTGGGGGGGCTCTATTAGTTACTAATTGATGTGATGATTACTGTATTAGTAAAAGCTGAGATACTTACATGAAGTTATTGATGTAAAAATTATCTTTTACTAAACAAATTTAACAGTATATGCCAGGTACTATTTTATCCCTGCCCTACGAAACCTTACATTCTACGTGGAGAAGCAGATAATAACCAAGAAAACACAATAATTAAATTGGCAAATGTCATGGGAAAAGAATGGAGCAGGATAAGGAGATTAGGACTATCAGTCGGAAAGTAGGGGAGGGGGCAGTAATGCAGTTCCAATTTTAAATAGTCAAGGTAGGAATCACTGAAAAGGGGCCTTGAAGGAGGGTGGCCATAGTGATAGCTGAAGAAAGATCTTTCCAAGTAAAGGAAATAGAGCAAAGAGGATGAGGGAGAGGTATGCCTGGCCCATTCAAGTAAGAACAAGGAGGCCAGTGAGGCCAGAGAAGTAAAAAGAAGTGCAAGAGTACAGGTGGAGTATCCCTTATCCAAAATGCTTGAGACAAGATTGTTTCAAATTTCAGGGTTTTTTTTTTTTAAATATTTGCATATACATACATAATGAGATTAGGATGGGACCCAAGTCTCAAACAAAATTAATTTGTTTCATATATACCTTTATATATAGCCTGAAGATAATTTTATACAATATTTTTAATAATTTTGTGCACAAAACAAAATTTGAGTATACTGAACCGTCGGAGAGCAAAAGTGTCACTATCTCATATTAGCACTCAAAGTTTCAGATTTTGCAGCATTTGTATTTCAGATTTTTGGATTAGGGATGCTTAACTATAATAGGAAAGGAGGTCAGAAAGGTCAAATGGGGAAAGAGAGTGAGCACATCATGTAGTAACTTACCTTGGCAATTATGAGGGCTTTGGCTTGTGCTCTGAGTAAAAGAGGAAACCATTACAGTGTTTTCAGCAGAGGAGTGGCATGATCTGACTTATGTTTTAAAAGGCTCACTCTGCACTGTTAGTCATTAGGGGAATGCAAATCATAACCAGGAGGAGATCCACAACCACAAGAATAGATAAAATCAAAAAGACAGGGCAAACATTGGCAAGGATGTGGAAAAACTGGAACTCTCAAATATTGCTGGTGAGAATATAAATGGTGTGGCCACTTTGGCAAACAGTCTGGCAGTTTCTCAAGAGGTTAAACACAGTTACCATATGACCCAGCAATTCTACTCCTATGTATAGGCCCAAGATAAATTAAAACAAACATCCGTACAAAAACTTGTACACAAAAGTTCATAGAAGCATTATCCATAATAACCAAAAAGTGGAAAAAAGCCAAATGTCTAACAATTGATGAATGGATACATAAAACATGGTGTACCCATATAATGGAATATTATTTGGCAAAAAAAGAATGAAGTACTTGTCCATGCTTCAACATGGACAAACCTTGAAAACATTATGCTAAGTGAAAAAAGCCATTCACCAAAAGCACATATTATATGACTCCACTTATATGAAATGTTCAGAATAAAAAGTAATAGATTAGTGGCTGCCAGGGTCTGGCAGCTGGGAGGAGGAATGGGGAAAGACTTCAAGTGTGTACAGGATTTCTGTTTTGTGGGAGACAAAAATGTTCTGAATTTAGAGTGTGGTAATTGTTGTACAAATCTGAATATATTTTTTTAAAAAATTGAATTGTACAATTTAAATGGGTGAATTGTATGGTGTGCTAATTATGTCTTAATAAAACTAAAAAAAAAAAAGGGCCAGGCGTGGTGGCTCACACCTCTAATCCTAGCATTCTGGAAGGCTGAGGCTGGCAGATCACTCAAGGTCAGGAGTTCAAAACCAGCCTGAGCAAGAGCGAGCCCCCGTCTCCACTAAAAATAGAAAGAAATTAATTGGCCAACTAATATATATAGAAAAAAAAAATTAGCCAGGCATGGTGGCGCATGCCTGTAGTCCCAGCTACTTGGGAGGCTGACGCAGCAGGATCGCTTGAGTCCCGGAGTTTGAGGTTGCTATGAGCTAGGCTGACACCACAGCACTCTAACCTGGGCAACACAATGAGACTCTGTCTCAAAACAACAAAACTAAACTAAACTAAAAAAAAGGGATCATTCTCGTTGGAGAAAGAAAGAGAACTACTCTTTCAAGGAGTCTTATTGAAAGCGAAAGTGAAAAAATGAGCACTGCCTGTGGAGGAAGTGGGGGTCAATAATTTTAAGACAGAAGAAATAACAAAATCTTCATAGGATGATGGGTTAGGAAACATCCCATAAAGAGGGGAAAATAATGACACAGGGGAAAAAGGAAGAATTATTGGCATGAATGAATGAATATTGGGGAATCTGAGAATTCAGAGTTCAAACTATTTTTAGTCTCCTTTAAAACAATAATAGGTAAAAAGAAGTGGGCAAAAAATGTTCCAATACAAACTCCCTGTCCCAAATTACTTTAGCAGCTTTTAGCAAAACCAATTTGAGATCCCACAAAAGCCATTGTGGGTGGAACTGGAGGCAGTAATTCCTGGGAGTCTATCATTTCTTCTGGTGGTTTCCTATCTGCTTACCTCAGGTGCAGCATGCCTTTTGTAGCCATCTGAATCCTCCAACGTCTGAAAATAACTGTGCATGTATTCTGCAGCTCGCTGCCATTGGTGCTTCAGCAGAGCTTCCTGGATAAAATTTAAACAAGCACTTGTTGTCTGAGCAAAATCCTTCTTCTTTTTCCCTCCAATCACTATAAAGATGAAAGAGAAGAGTATCCACCGTGACTCCAATGCAACTATTCAAAAGTCTGACCTTCTGATAAGCAGAAATTTTCACAAATAAACAATAGATATTATTTGACCCAGCCTATCTCCAATATTGAAGCCAACTTCACTGAAAACAAACCATTCCACACTATAGTAATTATTTTTAGCAAATTAAAAAAATATCTACTTTGATGTTATTGGGCTCCTAGAGTCACCAGATCCTTCAAATCTGATTTGGTCATCCTTTCATCCTTGCACTAAACAAATTTGGGAAAAATCTCTCAAACAGGCCCACAAAAGCACAGTACCAGGTATTTAGAATGGGTGAAAATCACCAGGACCTTCCTAGGCAAGCATGGTCTTTATTACCTACCAATGTTCTGACAACTCCAAGTGGGCTTTTATTTTTTAAGGACTAAGTTCCTAATAACTCAATGATATTAAATATAAATGAGATTAATTATAGATATTAGCATTTACATTTCTAAACCATTAAGAATATTTGGGCTTAGTTACAGCCCCACTATATGAGTGACTAGTTGCACTGCTACCTCCTCTTCCGTTCCACACAACTACCAGACCCTTCTAGGCCAGCTGGGTACCTTTACCCCTGCAAGTACACAAAGACCAATAGGTACTCTGCAAAGATATCTTTAAAACAATCAACTTGCAGACGTCTGACTTCCTTATATACTTTTTCCCAAATTAATCTCCTAGAGAGTTGTGCCTATAGTCAAGGCTTTACAATCTAAATTATTGCATATTACCTTAAGGTGAAAATACAGGTGTTGAAAAAGTAAACGACTCTAAGCTTTCCTTTTGCAAGTTAGGTGACTCCCAGTTCTATGCTTATAATAATGGCAGAACAACATAATAATCTTCATAATAGGTCATTATGTAATTTTCATGAATAATTTAGAAAAAGTACAAGGACCTGATACATGGCTATAATTAAACTCCATTCACTGTCAACTACTAACTTATGTGACTGAGGTTTGTCAGAATGTTTACCCGTTAAAAAAAAATAGAACCAATGCTAAATCTTTTCTCATTCTAGAAATGCATAATAGTCAACATAAATATATAAAGTAATTAGGAAAAAGTGATAGATATAAATAACCTTATCTATATTACTGAGATAAAAACAAAAATTTATTTTTAATACTTCAAATTTAATAACACTTTTAAAATTTATTGATTGATTGACAGGGTCTCACTCTGTCACTCTGTCACTCTGTCATAGTGGCATGATCACAGCTCACTGGAGCCTTGAACTTCTGGGCTCAAGTGATCCTCTTGCCTCAGCCTCCTGAGTAGCTAGGACTACAAGTGCATACGATCATGCCCAGCTAAGTTTTTTACTTTTTATAGACAGGGTCTCCACTTGTTGCCCAGGTTGGTCACAAACACCAGGCCTCAGTCTTCCCGTCTTGGCTTCCCAAAGTGCTAGGATTACAGGCATGAGCCACAACTCCCAGCCTATGTTATTTTGATCAGCTGCATACTACTATTAATTATAATGATTTCTCAACCCAGAAAACATTTTCATTCTTAAAAACTTATAGATAATTAACAAAAATACGTCTAAATGTAGATACATATTTTTATTGCAAGAAGTACAACAGAAAAATATAAAATTTCCATCTATTAAAAGCTTTCTCATAAATTTTTAAAAATGGAAGGTATTACATCCCTATGCTACCCCTGTGCTATTTAGATTCCATCAGAGATATTTTTCAAAGTAATATAATAATTTCATTTAAAAATGCTAACGTGCTAGAAATTATATCTCTTGCAACTATTAAACGTATAATAAAATTGTAGATGGTGCTTTAAAACCATACAAGACAGCACACAATTTTTCAAAAACAACCTAGGCAATACGCAAATGAAAAAGCTTGAAGACTCATACTCTCAGACTTTTTAAAAATACATACAAATAACCTGGAGACCTTGGCGCCTGCTACTCAGTGTGGTCCTGGAACTAGCAGCATTAGTATCACCTGGCCTAGAAGCTTATTAGAAATGCAGAATACTATGCCCCACCCAGTTCTCTAAACCAGAAGCTGCGTTTTACAAGATCTACACATAAGCTTCTCAGGATCAGTGGCAATACCAGGCAGCCAGCCTAAAAACTGACAAAACACTTCATCCTTAAAATGTCCTTTATTTACATAGAGTAGGACTGTTCTCAGACTAAGCTCCCTTCTATCACACAAGCTTTCACAGCTCAGACTGGAAATTGACTTTAGACAACTACAACTAAATCCTTGGAAAATACCCGTCTTCTAACTTAGCCTAGTCACCTCAGGAAAATGTCTCCTTTCATTTCATTCTTTAGTGAGCAAAAGATAATCTTACTTGATCCCAATAACATTAAGAATAAACATTTTCAAGGAAAATACATTTTTACATGGAATGAGAGGTACAATAAAGAACCAGTGTCATCTGGAAACTTGTCAATCTGTCAACAAATATGTTTTGAGCACTACTGTGTGCCACGGACTGCTCTAGGTGTCAGCACATAGCTTTAATTCAGACTGGCTTCATCTTCAAATTCTTATTCTAAGGGGCACAGCAGGCATGCCCTTCAAAATGCCAAAAGATATCTACCAGCAAAAAAAAAATTAATACAGTAATTGTTAGCCTAATTTGTTTTTCTATTATGGTTAATTGCCAATATAATGTCAATATTACTTGCAAGTATTTTCTCCTTGTAGACAAAAAGTATTTGGGGTTTAAAAGGCTATGTATAACAAATGAAACATTTCTAAGCATGTAAATTCTGGGCTTAAACCTATCTGCTTGCAGACTGACTCAAGCTCTCTACAGAACATTGGTGACGGAAACATGCCCACGTATGCTTCAACTAGCAGCAAATTTAAATTACTAGTAAGTTCCCTACAGTGGTGAGGTAGTGCTACCTCTAAAGTACCATACATTCAAATCTGCCTTAAGCCATGTGCATTAATCTAGCAAAAATAAAATGAAAAGGGGAAAGAACTATTATTGTTCTTTCACCCACTATGCAATAATCTCAATTTTTAAAATATATCACAGTGGTTAAAAGTATAGGTTTTGAGATCAGATAGGCCTGGATTTGACTCCTTATACTACCACTTAAGAGTTTAACTTTTTCAGATTCAGTTTCTTCATATCTAAAATGCCTAGCATGTAGATTTACTGAGGATTAATTTACTAAGATCATTAAATGAGATAATAGTTAGATTAAAAACAAATATGGAAGTTAAATTCTAGGAGCTAAGGAATCTCTATCAAGGGGAGAGAAGGCTGAGCTAAGAAAGATGTATTTGAGGGCAATAAAAGTGCTCATTCATGAAATAATGTCTTTTGCAGCAACATGGATGGTACTAGACAACACCATCCTAAGTGAATTATTTCAGGAATGGAAAAACAAATACCACACATCCTCATTTATAAGTGGGAGCTAAAGGATGGGTATATATGCTCATACAAAGTGCTATAATGGACATTGGAAATAAGGGTAGAGAGGAGGGAGGAGAGATCAAAAATTTCCTATCAGGCCGGGCGCGGTGGCTCAAGCCTGTAATCCTAGCACTCTGGGAGGCCGAGGCGGGCGGATTGCTCGAGGTCGGGAGTTCGAAACCAGCCTGAGCAAGAGCAAGACCCCGTCTCTACTATAAATAGAATGAAATTAATTGGCCAACTAATATATATATATATATATATATATATAAAATTAGCCGGGCATGGTGGCACATGCCTGTAGTCCCAGCTACTCGGGAGGCTGAGGCAGAAGGATTGCTTGAGCCCAGGAGTTTGAGGTTGCTGTGAGCTAGGCTGACGCCACGGCACTCACTCTAGCCTGTGCAACAAAGTGAGACTCTGTCTCAAAAAAAAAAAAAAAAATTTCCTATCAGGTACAATGTACAACATTCAGGTGACAGGCACACTAAAAGCCCTGACTTCACCATTATATGGTCCATCCATGTAACAAAAATCACATGTATCCCCTAAATCTATTGAAATAAATAAAAAAGAAAAGTGCTGGTCCAAATGTACTCCCAGGACTATATCACCCAACATGCCATCATACAGATAACTGCTGTTTAAATATGTTCTTATACAGAATTTATTCCATAGAAAAACCTGCTTGCATTTACATTAGATAGAAACATTGGAAAAATACTTCTTTAAAAAACCTATTACACGATTAATTCTATTAGGAATAATTTCAATGCAATTCACCAGAAACTTCTTGAACACTTCCTAGTTATATGCTTAATGGCAGAGATCACATCTTCTCATCTAGGAATCCTCAACATTTAGCTAATGCCAGAAACAAAAGAGCTAAGTATTGCTGTACAAAAAAAGTGTATCTATCATAATACAGACTATTATTAATTCTAAGGCAAAGGATTCTTAAAGAAAAAAGAATCTATTTCTTATGATTACTTTTTTGCTTACAGCCTAAAAAAACCTCACATATTCCTATAGTGAAAATTAAACCAGCTTGGTTATTCACTTTGTAACCATATAGAACCTTACCACCTCCTTGCATTAATGTGGTTCTATATTATTTTACTTACCCACAGTTTCTACGTAACTTTGAAGCCAAGGAAAATGCATTCCTGTACCAGAGAGCACAGACATTTTCACCTGGTCATCCTTTGTCATAGGCCTTGCCAATTCTTCACTGAAATCACTCATACCTACTACAAACAGAGAATACCAGTTACTTTCTGTACATCTTAATGTACAGGCTTTTGATGTCAGACAAACAGCCATCTTTTTATCTGATAAATACCATTTGATCAGCAAAATTCATTACATCTGGTAGCTCCTTTAAAGTAAAAAATGATTTTAAGTCAGCAGCAGCCAAAATGAATGATCCATTAAAAAAAAAAAAAAGGCTGAGCCATTACTATGTTTCAAGTGCATACATAAAGAAGATATTCCCCTCAAAAAAAAATTAAATCCTCAAGTCTAGAGAAAGAAACAGCAAAATGCACAATAACAAAATAATATGACAAGTACAATACAAATAGGACTAACAGCTAATATTTATTGGGCCCTTACTGTGTACCAGGTATAAACATGATCTAATTTAATCCCTAAGGTAATCCTGAGGTGGGTCCTAGTATTTTCTTCCATGTTAACGTTGAAAAAACTCAGGGGCTTAGTGAAATAATGTAACCTGCCTAATGTCACAGAAAAGGTGAGGACAATATTCTAGGAAACAGATCACCAAATTACTTAGCATAACCAGAATTCAGGGTGTAGAGGAGGTGGACGGAAGGCAGTTAAACCTGAGGGCGGGAAACGAATCTAGAAAGATAGCTATTAACACCAAGCTGAGTTTGGATTTAAACCTCAAAATGCTCAGGGCTCTCTCCTTCATTTCCCATATAAAATTGAATATTCCTGCCGCTGATAAAACCTCCCACAATTGTCCAATTTTCCTTCTTCTCTGCAATCCTACAGCACTACCCTAGTTCAGGACATCTTCAAACTGTCCAGATTACTGCCCTAGCTCTCTAGTTACCCTACCTCAGATTTTGTTAGAGTCAGTGTAAACCTTTTAAAATCCAATTCTGTGGTTAGAAGCATGAACTTGAAATCACACTTGAATTTGAATCTGACCCACCTTGTATTTTGAGACGTAGTAACGCAATCCTCCCTTTCCCTCAAACACCCAAATTAGTGCCAAGCAGTTACCATGGTAACCAAAGCATCTCTCTTTGGTTACCACCCTCCCCCTCCTTCTCAGGACCCAACGTTTCAGGGCAACAGGAGAAAATACCAGCAGAACGCAGGTGAATCCTAGCACACTTTCCCGTTCCATTTGAACGCAGGAACCCAGGACGACACCCGCAGCACTTACCTGCCTCAACCCAGAGCTCCCGGGTAAAGCTGAACTCTGTTTTCCGACCCCGGAACACGCGAAGACACCCTCGCCGGAAGCAAAGTTAGAGGGCGCTTTGTGCGAGCATGCGCAAAACCCGCCTACAGTGCTCCGTTGCTGCGCAGACGCAACCCCGGCCCTACTCCTCCGTCGGTGGGGATGTTGTTGGCCTCGCCTCCACCCACGAAGTGGCTTCCGGAAGTGACTGAGAAAGTGACCCAGGAAGTGATAGTAGACTGCCTCTGTCCCATTGGTTTGGACCGAGTGTTACTGTTTAGTCTGTCTTAGCCAGACCCTGGGATACTTTCATTGCACGTGCAAGTTGGGGCGAGCGGTTGGCGGCTGGACCAAGTGAGCAGTCAAAAGAGCAGGCACGGCCGGGCGCGGTGGCTCACGCCTGTAATCCCAGCACTCTGGGAGGCCGAGGCAGCGGATCGCTCGAGGTCAGGAGTTCGAAACCAGCCTGAGCAAGAGCGAGTTCCTGTCTCTACTATAAATAAAAAGAAATTAATTGGCCAACTAATATATATATAGAAAAAATTAGCCGGGCACGGTGGTGCATGCCTGTAGTCCCAGCTACTCGGGAGGCTGAGGCAGGAGGATTGCCTGATACCAGGAGTTTGAGGTTGCTGTGAGCTAGGCTGACGCCACGGCACTCACTCTAGCCTGGGCAACAAAGCGAGACTCTGTCTCAAAAAAAAAAAGAAAAAAGAGCAGGCACCTTGCGAGAGAAAGTAACTGTAGGATGAACGCCCGGTTTCTGCTAGGCTCACAGGCCCACTGCGGCCAGTCAGGCGTGGCCGGTAGCTCTGGCAAAATAAATCCGTGCATAGCCTTTTAATTGCTTCCTTGAAAGTTTTTTTCTCTCTATTACAGTGTTACCTTTGGATTTAATTGACTAAACTGCCTTCTCCACAATTTGGGCAAGAATCTCTTTTTCCTTCTAAAAGAAGTTTGTTCTATTTACCTGTCTGGGGTCAACTCTCATGAGGAACATTGACAACCATGTGAAAAGAGGTCGAAAGTAAGATGATTAAAATCATGTGCAATGAATGGCAGTTGAGGGGTTGAAGGGAAGGTGACTCTGGAAAAGGGTCAGAGACCCTCCACCTTTCTGATTATGAAGTTGAAGTGTATGCTGTGCTCTCAGAGATTACAATCATGTTCTGCCTGTTCATCAATGCCTGAAAACAATTACTTTAAGTAGTTTTTCTAGTTTCAGACTCTTCAGTGATAGGAAGGTAAGTCCAGTAGCAGTTAACTCTATCATGGCTCAAAGTAGAAGTACTAAATTCCTTATATCTTTCTCCATCCATAGTGATGGAGAGCCAGTCGTGGTGGCTCAAGCCTGTAATTCCAGCACTCTAAGGAGGTCTACGAGGGAGGATTGCTTAAGGCCAGGAGTTTGAGACCAGCCTGAGGAAGAGGAGACTCTGTACAAAAAAATAGAAAAATTTTCTGGGCATGGTGGTGCATGCCTGTAGTCCCAGCTACTCAGGAGGCTAAGGCAGGAGGATTGCTTGAGCCAGGAGTTTGAGGTTGCACTGAACTATGATAATGCCACTGCACCCTAGCTGGGGCAACAGAGTGAGACCCTATCTCAAAAAACAAACAAAAATAGTGATAGAGACACTCACTGAACAGGCCAAATTATATAGAAACTCTGTAATGTGTCACAGATTCAACAACAAATTCATTGTCCATAGAACCCAAAGTCAATTGAAGGAATAAACCCCAAAATGGGTGTCTGAAAAATAAGCTGGCCAAAATTTGTAAATGGTCAGACTTAACTGATCATATGTCTTACCAATGGCTTCATGAGCATAATATCTACAATAACTAGAAAAAGTTAATGGATGGACTCAAAACTTTCCACTACAATCCGATAGAAAGCCTCTTGTGATATTTTATTAAATGATAGTTCTGAAATTATTACAAAATACTAATGAACATTTAAAACATTCTTTCTCACTATTTTGGAAAACTGTGTTATCTTCAGCCCAAAGATTACATCCACCTTAAAATGCCCTAAAAAATACATTTTTTAAACCTCATAATAGTGAACTTCATCAGCGTTTTCACCTCTGACATGTCACAGTGCCAAGATTTATAGTCCTAAATGCACACCTTCTACAGGAAGGAGATATTGGTCCTGACAAGTAACAACACCATGATCCCATTTTGTACAACCCAGTGTAGCCATAAAAAGAGAAAAAGTGTTCATGTAGTCTGCTGACCTTTAATTTATAGTCTATATCAGAGGTCAGCAAACTTTTTTCTGTAAAGAGATGGATAGTAAATATTTTAGACTTTGCATGTCATACAGTCTTTGCTGCAACTACTCAATTATCTTGTATAGACAATATATAAACAAATGAGCATGCCTGTGTTCTAATAAAATTTTACTTAAAAAACCAGGTGTCAAGCTGGATTTGGCTCATGGGCCATACTTTGCTGACCATTGCTTTAAAGTCCCAATTAACGTTTATTGCTCACAGTAGAAGAAGTTTGGGCTATATGCATACATGCATGCATATGTACATATGTACATAAATTTTAAAGATAGCCGGGCGCGGTGGCTCACGCCTGTAATCCTAGCTCTCTGGGAGGCCGAGGCGGGCGGATTGCTCAAGGTCAGGAGTTCAAAACCAGCCTGAGCAAGAGCGAGACCCCGTCTCTACTATAAATAAAAAGAAATTAATTGGCCAACTGATATATATATAAAAAATTAGCCGGGCATGGTGGTGCATACCTGTAGTCCCAGCTACTCGGGAGGCTGAGGCAGAAGGATCGCTGGAGCCCAGGAGTTTGAGGTTGCTGTGAGCTAGGCTGACGCCACGGCACTCACTCTAGCCTGGGCAACAAAGCGAGACTCTGTCTCAAAAAAAAAAAAAAAAAAAATTTTAAAGATAGTTATGTTAGTGGTGATTTTTATGTCCAACGAAATATCTACTAAAAAATAATTACTGATGTCATCATACATCTCAGTCATTAGGATAGTCATTAACTCCACATTGCTTCTCCTGCAGTCCCTAACAAACAATTAGTAGATGTAAATACCAGGAATAATTTTGCTATTCTGTAGTGGAGGAAACTGATTATAATGGGATAAATGAAATCAACCACTATGAAATGTGTGTTTATTTAATTACAATTATCATTCTAATGGTTCCACATACTAAGTCTCAACCTTTATTCCCCAAGGTCCTAATTGAGAAACATGTGCTTTCATGAAAACTAAAGAAAAAACCCTCCAAATCCATTCCAAACAGTTCTAATTGTATGTTTTTGACTATTAACACACACAGAAAAACAATGCAACTCATTCAGACTTAAATTTAAGATAAGATAGTGCAGAAGTGGGAAGAAATGTGAGAATAGGGAAGTAGAACAATATAAGACACGTCTTGGTGGTCAGAAAATATTGTGAGACATCCTTTAAGATGGTATTAGCTTTAAAAAACTGTAAAGCAAACTCAGTTGGATCTACAAGAGCATTGGCATTTCTTTTGTTTTAGATTTTGTTGATGTTATAATTTTTTCCTTTTATCTGATAAGGGGTTTCCCTAAAGAATACAGAATATTTACAACCACAGGTGCTTTGTTAAACTGATCAGATTTTAAGAGATGTCTCAAACTCCATCTCAAACTTGGAGAGTGGTATCATTCCTACTGGGGGGGTTTGGAAATGCATGGAAGGAATTTTTATTTTGCTACAATGACTAAGGATGCTACTAAAATTTCATAACCAAGACCAGGGATGTTGTATGTTTATGCAAACAAGTAACATTCTGTGGTCCCTTCCTTAACTGCAACTGTATTTTTCTACAATTCTGTCTAAAAGGATAAGAGTTTTTTAATTTGTGATTTTTTATATTTTATTCTTTACAACTCCAGTGGTACATATAAAGGGATAAGGGTTTTTGTTTAGTCAAATTGTTTGACTATCCATTTAAATGTAATTTTTCATTTCTTTATATTAATATTTGTCAAGAATAGTGTGTTTAAGATAATTATGAGAAATAATAAAAGCTTGACCAGTGTAGGAGCTTTATGATGACTTATAGCTAATACTTTTTTTGCCTCTAAATATAATGCCTTAAGAAAGCTTATATTTTTTAATTAAAGACTTCAGATTCATCTGAAATGGCAATGAAATTCTCAGACGCCCCAACAAATATCTCAGCCTCTGATTATGACCAAACAAAAACCTGGGGCTTTTGAGATAGCCACTGTCATTCTTTCTTTCTTTTGCAGAAGTTCTAAGAGAGGCTGGCAAAAAATATTTTAAATCCTAAACACAATTTTAAGCTTTGCTTTCCTTTCAAATAAATGTATATAAAATAATGTATAAATGTATCATATGAATGTGGTGTTAATTCCGAATTCCTACTTTCCAGAGCTGTGGCTTTCTTTAAATGGTCCTAAAATATTCTATAAGTATAAAATACTTACACAAATACACATCAGATATCAAAGACTTCATATGAAATAAAGAATGTAAAATATCTCATTAATGATTTTATATTGATTACAAGTTGAAATGATATTATTTTGGCTATATCGGGTTAAATAAAATACATTATTAAAATTAAGATCACTTATTTTGTTTTACCTTTTTAAATTGTTTCTAGGAAATATAAATTTCATATGCAGCTGGCATTATATTTCTTTGGACAGCATTATTTTAGGAAATCAGTGAGAATAAGAGAAATATCAGGGTCACATTTAAATTCTTTATTTAGTCATTTTGTTTTGATGTCATTTATTGAATCCTCTTGTGTATTCCATACCATTTCACATCCCTTGTGGATTTAGATAGGAATGAGCTTTCATACTCATTACAAAGAGCTTTTTTCCTGTATGTAATTACTCAGTATCCCCACTTGAGTCCTGTCTTCATTATGGTATTTATTTTTCTGTTTCTGATTTTATAGTGCATGCGTTGAATAAAATGCT